TTTTTTTTTTTAAATTTTATTATATATCTTTGTTGTGTTTTTTTTTTTTTTCTTTTCTTTTTCACACTTTTTTTTTTTAGTTTAACAATTTAGAGTTGGCTCGTTAACATCTCAAGTATTTACTAAGGGTAGCTGACCTATGTTCATATTGGTAAATAAACGTCTAATTGAACTATCTTGCATTTTACTGTTTGACTAATGATCTAGGTTAATTGTAGCGTTTAAAAACTTAATTTTATTTTTTAGAATTTAGCTATAAACTCAAATCATAAGAAATCGTAACATTCTCGAAAATTAAAAAAATAATTATCAAAACGATAATAAAATTCTCCTCATTTTACCATAAATTTTTTTTAAAGAATTGATTAAGATAACATAAAGTATAAGTTATAATTTGTTTTAAAAGATTATGGGCCATAATGGGCTCTCCGTTGCATGTCTGACCCTGCCATTGGCCCATTGGGCCTATGAATCTACTTGTTTGGGCTTTTGAGAAAGCATAATGAATAATGGCCATTTTTCAAAATTTGACGAAATATTATATATATTTTACCTGACGGCAAAATCTAATAAAAAAAATATATATTATATGTTTTTTTATGTGAAGATATTTGCACTGGCTTAAAGAAAATTTCATTTAGTGGTTGTTTAAAATACAAGATGGTTGTTTATTCAATATCTAAAACTCGAGTAACTATAATTAAATGTTGTTATCGATTTATTTTTAATTTGTTTAAAGTCTACAAGTAAATTATGACTTTTCTACTTTTCAGTACTTAATTGATTTGTTTATGAATATTATTTTAGTTTTTTTTAGCTCGATTATAGGTTAATTGATTTAAATATGATTTTTTTTCAAAACTCTAATTAAATTCTGTCTTCTACGTTGTTGGCTTTTAAAAAGTCGATTAAAGATTTTAAAATTGGTTGGTTTATTAGAATAAAAGGCAGAGAGTCGTGTCATTTCAATAACTAGACGTAGGACTAGAGTTCGGTATGTATGACACGAAATCGAAGGAAAATTTAAGCCCCTTCGTGGATAAGCTTAGCTTGGCTTGACAATCACTTATGACTTGGCATAAACTACGAACGACGTTAAACATTCCCCTTTGACAGAAAATTAACTATTTTTCTATGACAACAGTCGTAACTATAAAGGACGAGACAGTAAGCTCTTTATCTATCAACAACAGGTGGGGTCGTTCTCCTTTATCAACGGTACTAAAAATTGGGGCAAGTAGAATTTTGTAGAGGCTCGAGGACTTACTAAGCAAAGGGACGAAAGCACGGTTTGGATTCAAATTATATTATTCTTTTTTAATAATATTCCAAATGCAATTACTACACAATGTGGTCTCTTAATTGAATCTTGCCACCCAAAAACTAAAAGCTGACAAAATTGTTATGGTCAAAGTCAATGCGTTTCAACTATAACTGCTACTTTTGTTGAATTTTATGGTTTTAACTTAATTACTGCTTCATTTTGTCAACTTTGGCGGCAGTTCTCATTGAATTTTGACCTAATTTTATTGGATAAATTAATAAAAATATTTCTAAAAATTATTATTACTATATTAATTTCACCGTCTAAAATTGAATAAAATAAAAAGAGATGGTTGTTGGACGATGAAAATCCCACGTCCCCTAACTTAGGGAATGATCATGAGTTTATAAACAAAAATACTCGAAAATAATCATGCGTTTATAAACAAAGATACTCTCTTTCTCTATTCGTACGAGGCCTTTTGGGAAGCCCAAACTAAAACTATGAGAGCTTATGCTCAAAGTAGGCAATATCATATCACTGTGGAGAGTTGTGTTCATCCAACTTAAGATAATAGAAAGGATCTATTATTTATTATTTCATACATAAATGGAGCAATAGGGAGTGGTAAACTTGCTCTTGCAAGAGCTCATTAGCTCAAATGGAACAGTAAAAAAAAAACACCCACTCCTCCCTCCCCCTTTGAAATTTCAGCATCCCATTTGAAACTCTCCTTCCTCCTCCTCATGGCTTCCACAAGATGGTGGTTTCAGCAATCATGGAAGTTACAACATACGGATCCATGTTCGACGCAGGTCTTCGATCCTCGAAGTATCCTTTCCCTTCTTTCTCGGTGTCTCGTCCTACTCGCACAGATGCACCGCGGTTTGCAACACCCTATCGTGTTTGGTTTTTAATCCAAACATATAGATAACGATGATGATCAGAACAAGCATATCGATTAAAGGTTTTGTGAAAAAGGGAATAGGCTTTAATAATATACCCAAGAGAAGGTGTTGATGTCGGCTGTTTCATGTCGTCCGGTGAGACGACGCTCGTTGCCTTCTCCATATGCAGCAATGTGTTTTTCGTGTCGATATTCCAACTTTTGTATTGCTTTCTTGATCACCTCGTAACCCCCTTCGTTCCTCATCGACTTCGTACTGAGAAATTATTGGCAAACATGTTGGTTTAATGCCTAAAGGCTATACAAACAATAATGTTTCATTACCTGTAGTTTGTGTGAGCACCAGCTCCATTCCAATCTCCCTAGAAAGAACAAAGAACAGAATTAAGCAAAAAGATGTAAAAATGAAACAAAAGTATGAAGAACAAGACGTTCTTGTTTCTTTTACCTGGATTGGTTTTGGATCAAAAGAAAGAGCTACCCCAGCAATCTCTGTTATCCTCTGTTAAAACGAAATCGAAACCATAAACCCCAACGAATATCATAAAAGTTACGTGTTCGAAGCAATTTTACACAACTCAAGTTACCTCTAAGATGTAACGAGCAACCCATAATTCATCCCCAGCAGAAATACCAACAGAAGGACCAACTTGAAATTCCCACTGTTAAAACAAGTTAAAATAAGAACATAATCACAATCAACACATTCCAGAACCAGGAAAAACAAGAACATAATCATAATCACACCTGCCCCGGCATCACTTCTCCATTGATACCACTGATGTTAACACCGGCGTATAAACAGGCTTTGTAATGGGCATCAACGATGTCGCGACCGAAGGCTTTGTCGACGCCAACGCCGCAATAGTACGGTCCCTATTGACAAACAAAACTCATAATCATATACTACCTAAAGCTCTGATTAAGAAACTAACTCTACTTTTCAACTACTCAGTTACCTGTGGCCCAGGGAAACCACCGATCGGCCACCCGATCGGCCATTTTATGTCCTTCTGCAACAAGGTGTACTCTTGCTCAATACCATACCTGTGATTCCATAACAATAAGCCAAGCCAGGATGGAGATTCAATAAGACTATAAGTAATCTGCCATTATATAATATCAACATGAATTTTGATAATCACCATGGTACTTCAGCAGAAACCTCAGGATGGTTAAATATCTTAGCAGCAGCATGTCTCTTGTTCGTCGGGATCGGCTCGCCAGCCGGTGTGTAAGCATCGCATACAACCTAACCAGTCAAACTCATCAATGTCATGCTCAATCTATCTCAGGTGACAGAAATTTGAATTCCATTGATAACTTAAAAGACTTACAAGAATATTGTTGCCTCTCCTAAACGGGTCCCTAAAAATTGCTTGTGGGCTGTGTTCCATCATTCAACAACAAGAAAATATGTTGATATCCATTCAATAGAATTGGAAAAGGAAAAGGGATAATAAACTCACTGAAGGATCACTTCACTGTCTTTTCCTGGGGCTTGGCCTGTACTGGATCCATCATAATTCCACTTGGGAAGCTCTGAAGGATCACTTACAGGTCCAGAAAGGGTCTTCATATGAAAAACAAACAAACATATCATTAAAAGAGAAAATAAAGATATCATGTTCTAAAAATAGGTTCTCCTTCACAACAAAAAGAAATTACCCTTGCTTTGCTTCTGATATCCAGGCCTGATCCACCAATCCTGTTCAAATGGAACACAAACACACCAAATGCCATAGTTAGCCAGAAATCAATAGTAAAAACCAAAATAAAATCAGAAGAAATCGTTCTTCAACTTCAACGATTCGCAGAAACAGAAATCTACAGTCACCGAAGAACGATTTCAGTAACAAAAGTTCATTAATCAACAAAAAAATTCGAGAAAAAGAGAGCTCAGTAACAAAAGTTCATTAATCAAGAAAAAGAAAAAGAAATCCCCCGCAGGTAAGAGTAAGAGGGATTCTCAAAACAAAAGTTCATTTCCAGCCTCATTCACAGAACAGGAACAAAAAAATGGAGAGAAACAACGGGGAGATCAAATTTAAGGAAACTTACCATATATACTCTGCAATGATCTTCTCGGTGGAGTCGGAGAGGTCAAGGTTGACGAGATCGGAGAGCAGAGACATGTTTTCCGGTCACCGAAAGAAGAACACACAAATCAATGAGCTTGAGAGAGAATGATTCGATTCCCGCTCTTCTCGCCGACGTTGAAATTATGCAGAGAAATGAAGAACAGAGGTGTGGATTTTATAGAGACGCCGTGTAGAAGAAAAAAGGCAGTACACTACACTTCGTGTCCTTCGGAACTATTATTCAAACAAAAAAATAATAATAATAATAATAATAAATAAAGA